TTAAGAAAAATAATTGTAATTTTGAAAAGACTCCGAAAAAATGTTGAGTTTCTTTCAATTTTCGAAATATCAAGATTTTTTACCAACATGAGACCTACGCCATTCACACTATCCAACAAAATTTAACCAAAATCAACGGCGCTATTTTTTTGGAAATGTCCCAGGTGCCTTAAAGCCCCCTCCCCACAATTAAAATATCGGTTTCAAATTTATGGGACTGTGGCATCAGCCAGATCAATTGGGGAATGTCTATTTCGAAGGAAATCAGATCATGGACATTCTATTACACATTTGCTGGTTCGGCACTTCTCAATAATTCATTGCATTGCAATTACAAACACTGCAAATAGTAGGGTTGAACTTGCCCAAACCTTGTTTCCAAACCATCTGCCTATAATATTAAACAAACTTTTATTGAAAATTTGCTTCAAATATCAATTGCATTGTTTTGTTGTTGTTTTTTATTTTCACTTGATAATCTTAAGTACACAGGAAATTACCTTCTTAGAACAACAAATACACTCATTTCATTAATAACTTTCCCTTTAAATATAAAAATGGATGAATAAGAAAAAGGGTGTTGTTTAACATACAAGAGTTTTAGCTCATGTATGCTAGTATATCTTTAATGGTTTGTAAAAATAATTACAATGCATTTCTAAATTAAATGTTTCGGCACAAAACTCTTGGCCGTTTGCTTCGCAGTGGCCTATTCCATGCAGCACAAGCCACCACTCCAGTGACATACCTAAAATGCCTTTTGGGGGATATGTTTTTCCTACTTTTCTTAACAATAACAATATTTATCTTTCCTAAATTTAACAAAAGATGTATTTGCCTCAAAGAATATTCCAACTCCTAAATGGATGTTAATTTTTCCCGTGTTATGAAAGAAGTTTTACTCTTCATCACAACTCAACATACACCGTTACTAGGACATTCATTGTCAAAGAAATTAAACACTCCCACCTGTTTATTATTTTTTTTTTATGAAGTTGACTCAGTGATATCAAAGAAAGGAAATGTTTTTTTTGTGTGTAGATTTTAAGTAATGCTGGATACTCCTCCCCACCATGAATTAGATTGGAGAATAAAAACATATATGTTCGCAAATTATGTCATAGGTAAGAAACCTGGTGCACATGCAACGCATTACATTACCTTGCAACAATCTTCACCATTGTGCATGACTTGGAAACAATACTTTCTAGGACTTAAAAACCACCATTAAAGATATACTAGCATAACTGTGTGAGAACTCTCCCATGTTAAAGCCCACACCATCACGACAGGAATACTAGTTAATGTTTTTCATACTGTATACAACAAGATGAGACTTTGAACATTCTACTAAATTCTGGGATGGTTCCATCAACCCATAAAACAGGTTGCCAGAAATACTGGATCTTCAATCCCAATGTAAAGCTCTTTTCACTATTAAAACCACGATTTAAAAATTGCAGAATGATTGCATAGGTCCAAGTAGTACTGAACAAAATATTTCTTACAAAATAGGTATACTTCCTTTCTCGACTGTCTCCATGAACTTTCTCAACATTGACCTACCCAACAAAAACCATGTAACCATGTAAAACCAAGCGTAACACCAGTAGCAACTGTAATACGTAACTGCACAATAGTTTTATTAACCAATTGATTTATATGCCAGAATATACTGGTTCATTACAGAGTTAATTGAAAAGAAATCAACAAAATAAAAATTATACCTATCCAGCATCTGAAAGATCTTTTTTCCAATTTTTTGGTACCCAAAGGGTAAAATTGAAACACAACTTCAAAAATAAAAGTATTATGGATCAAGGGTTTCCAATTTTTAGGGCTCAAGAGCCATATTAAATTATTAGGCATGATGTCAGGCCACAATTTAATATTAGGCTGTTTTGTGTGTAAGTTGAAGGAACATATTAACCCTAATGCACAGAAAAAAATGTAAAAAGAAAACTTATTTTAATAATATTTATACATAAGAAAAATATATTTTTTAAATAAATATTTACTTTTGCATGACCGTTTCGTAGATGATACAAAAATACTTTCTGAATGCTTGTACCATATTCTACTCTCCAATGGTAAACAATTTTGCAATTAAAAAAAAAAAAGTATCTCCTGTGTTGAAACAGTCCAGCATAGTATTTTAGACATGCTGCATATCTTGGAGGGTTTCAGGATCCCTTTAAAATTCACGATTTTAGTATCATAGCTTCAAATTTGAGTATACTTTCATTGAAATCTTATAAGAGATGATGTTGAAATTATATTTTTGCATAAACTTTGAAGTATTGCTATTGCTGAATATATTGAGTTTAAAGGTTACCAACTTTAGTATCAGAGCATCACACATTTTTGCACAGAGCTTTATAAACACTGTTGCAAAGCTAACAACCCTTTTAAAATAATATGTATAACTGATAATAAGTCTAATATAAACTTTCAATTGTCAAATGAAGCAGCTTTCAACAATGAAGCAAAAAGTAAACTTATTAAGTTGGAATGATTTCTTATACTATATAATTAATGTTTGTTGTTTCTCTTTATTTCTAAATATACCTGTAATTTTCAATATAGTACTTCACTCTGTTTTGTTTTATATTACCACAAAATGTGGGTTGTACTTGAAATGAGTATCTCTTTTGTTCCTATTCTCAAAATTTTTGTTGTAGTGCTTTTGTGTATTGTATTCTACCATCACATGTAATAAAATGAACTGTAGTTGATGTGAACTTTATTGTATGTTGAGTAATTATGACATTTGATTGAGATGTAATTTGTTTTATGTACTCATTAGGAGAAAATGTCTGCTAAATTAAAAAAATAAATATTTTATTAACACACTTTTGTTTCACATTGATGGGAACTTACTGGATCACATGTTGGAAGTTTAAAAGCAATTAACCATGAGTTTCAAATTGCACTACTCAGTTTTTGTTTGAGCTTTCATTAGATTTACTTTGATAATACTGAATTTACTACATGTAAAGTATACACTTTCCTAGATGAATGCTACAAAACAGTAATGACTTGCACAGACCACAGTTTTGAAGTACAGTAGGTATAATACTACCCAATGGTTTGTTCAACATGTATTCTCCGTTACCTTTTAACACATTTTCCCCGTAAGCTTCCCTAATACTTTCCCAGTTTTTCCACTATATGGAAAAAATTGTAATAATCTCATTTTAGTTACCATCCACCAAAACCTCCAGTTGTATGCTGTATTCTTTCTGATCGCATTCCATAACCTCTGTACTTTGACTCTGGAAGGGAATGTACCTGCTTATCTGCTCTATTCCTTAGACTCAAAACGACTACTGCTTGTAAAAGTAACGCCTCCAGCTAAAGCAAAGTATTTTTTCCAATGAAAGCAATGAAATTAAAGTTATGATGAATAAATGTTTACAATAATTGAAAATGTTGTCATCAATGAAATATTTTTGAATCTTATATTACAAAGAAAACATTTAAAACTGATCTATGGTATATTCTATGGTAAAATCTATTACTTTCCGTAAATGATAGGGGGGGACGTAAGCATTATGTAATAATTTTGGAGGGTTCGAGCTCCAGTTACAGGTAAGGAGCTCCAGTTGCATTATGTAATTTATGGCATAATTACATAATTAATATACACCTTGCTTAAAACTTCACGATTTATAATTTATATGTTTACTTTTAAAAATGATTGTTAGCTGTCTCTAATCTCAGTAAACCAAAAACGATCATTTAAATTTTATTTTTTACTGCCATTAATTTTTATTTTTTAAGTTACATGGTTAAAAATGTATGTCCGGCAAGGAAATTTCAGATATGAAAATTCTGAAATGTAAAAATATCTAACAGTCATTTTCTCTAAACACTGAAATCGCATTTACCCCATTATAATACATTGTGCTGACAAGCTATATTGATTTATGAAAATAATTAAAAGAGGAAAGATAATTATTAAATTGTATGTTCACACTAATTGTTAAAACTTCAAGGGGTCCTCATAATAAACAAATAATAAATGCCTGCATAGAATTTATACTTCTGAATTATCATTCCTTAATAGATAATAAATATTACATACATATAAAAATTAGTGATAAAGTCAATGCGTATTCTAAAATTGTCAATTTGGTAAGATTTTATTAAATACACATAGAATCTACACAAAGAGTTCAAAACACGGAAATCACAATATAGTCTCCCACAAACCAGTATTCAATTTAACAAACTCAATTAAGGACCGAAGAAAATGAAATCCAGAGGATATTTGGTTTTTATATTATCTTCACATTCAAGATTCATTTCTACGATCTACATAATAGGCTTAGTTCAAGCCTTTTTTTTTCAAATGGAAATAGATGCAACTAAATAGCATTTTCTTCACATTATAGAAATAAATACAATACCTAAACAGAGAGAAGTAAAAGCAGACAAAGTCTTCTGATTTTTCTACCCATGAGACGTAATATGTACAAATTATCTGCATAGTTACGTATAATACCGGTAGTGATAATAGCACTAGCTTCACTGCAAACACCAATACAAACTACTTGAATTTACTCCTCAAATATTATAATATACGAGAGAAATATAGTTCAATTCGAATGATTGGCAAAAAATAGTCGCAGAAAGAAGTTTACTTCATTAAACAACGGACACATGTTGCACAATTAATTCGATTGGGTGAACTTTTAACCAGTCTCTTGCGATACAAAAAATTAATACGAGACTATTTCACAAACAAATGCTAATGATATCAAGTTTGTGAAAGTGAAATAAAGAATGTTTAAAAATATCAAATTATTGGATATAAACAATTTTTATATTCATTGACAAAAGACGGTGCATACGGCCTCTGCGCGGCAACGCCGTTTCTTAACGGTGTGCAAGTTTTCGGCACTCTGCTGAATAAAGACCGGTTGTGCATTAAAAACATTTTCTCTAACAAACAATATGTTCTAGAATCTTGTAACAATATTTAACGAAAGACTCACCTTATAAAAGGAACAAAACAGTAACGGCTGATTTCATGAAGTTTACGTTTTCAGCGTTCTCGGTTTTCACCAGTGTTCTCTGATCATGACTTGTACAGTTCCTGTCGATTTCACCTATCGATCCGACCAACGGAATCGACTCATTTGCAAGTGTGTTTGTGGGAGAGAGTTCCGTGTTCCATGAGTGAGCCAACCACCATGGGAGGAGGCCAACGAACCGAAGTCGATGTTCCGGAACGCGCCCAAATTAATTATTAATATATATATATATATATATCACACCAGAGTACAAGGAGAAAAATAACATGAAGAATGAAGCCGAAAGTAAAAACTAGACCATGTTTTTCATTATAAATAGGGTCCACATGGGTTACGAACAAAATTTTTTAACCACAGCTCGGCAATCAACGAAATGTGTAAAATATTCACAATAATTTTTTTGAGGGGAACTTTTGAGATTTTTTTCAAGCTTGTTCTATAGTTTTAAGGCAGTATTTTTTTGGGTTATATATTTCCTTTCATGCAACTTTGTTCTCTAAAATTATTTTTAAGAAAATTTTATACAAGCAGTTTAAGAATATAGTCACATTTTCATTTACATGCAACCTTTATAGAAGCTTTAAGATGAAGAAAAACCTTGATAATATATTATTTAATGTCTTTATATTGCAGAATTGATATTTCAAGAATCAAAATACCTCTCTTTAAATAATGAAATAATAGAATTAAAACATTTTCTGAGTTTTTTGGTCCAAAAATTGTAGAATTCAATTACGACTTCCAAAAGAGTAAAACCTGGTTCTCTATGCAAAATTTCATTGTAAAATTTAGAGCTGTTTGTCAGAAAACGTTGTTTGAGCATTTCTAAAAGTGCATGTCCAGATGGGCGATTTTTGTTTGTAACAAGTACTTTAGAGCAACCAAAAATAAAAATGTGAAATATCATTGTTTTCCACCACCTGGTCACATTAAGGAGAGATGGGCCTGTAGACGCAATGATAAGTTTAACATGGAAAACAGTTTTGAGGCATGTCTTCCTTTCAATACCGACACAAAATGTTATTGCTTAATATTATTATTAGAACTTACATGAATGAATGGTGCAAGTAACAATTTATTTGTATTATCAAATAATAATTTCAAAAATTAATATTATTGATTTTATTATCTAGCGCGAATTTGTTTAATGCATTTAAAAAATTGATTTCATGGTCTTCCTGAAACAAAAATCATTGGGTTACTATCCTGAAAGATCTAGAAATCTTAAAGTGGTCGCAATACCCATAGAAAAGTTGCCCAGAGAAGTAAAGAATTCTGACAAATCTGTGCAAAGAAATGAGAGAGAGCAGAAAAGAATAATGGATGCAATTGCTAAAGAAATGCTAAAAGACAATACAAATGAGAACGTCATTATTAACAACCCAGATGAGTTCAGTAGTGACATTCCTGAAATGTGAGTATTTATTTGTACTTCCGGTACTTTTAAAAAGTTATGCGAATAGGCTTAGTAAAACAAGCAAACTTGGACAGGATTTGAAAGTGCACATTGTTTTTTCACAATATGAGAGGATAATACACGAAAGATATACAGATAAAAAAAAAAAAAATCAAGTTTCTGCCTTAAAAATAGAAAATAGAAATTGAGATCATGAATATATCTTTGACAACTATTCAGGTAAGAGATCTACAGATAGGTTGAGTACCACTTTATTAAAAAAAATTACTCCGTGTCAAATTAAGATGCAACTTAATCTGCAACAAAAGATTAACGGCTGGTCCTCACAAGACATTTCCTCAGTAATTTCATCAAGAAATGAAAGTGCTAAAGCATACAGAAATTTAAGGAGGAAAATACCCCTTTCCTGCCTTGTCTACCCTTCAAAAGAGGGGCTTCATCCTGTAATGCGGAGGAAGGTCTACTAGATGTTTTAAAAATAAATGAAGAAAATGCAACATTTCTACCACCCCTTCATTTTATATATATATATATATATATATATATATATATATATAAGGCAAGGATATGGATATGGTAAGACACTTTGTGGTATACGTATATTACTCGCCCAACTTTTCTTGAACGATGACCTTGCTTCCCCCTCTCTGGCCCATAAACAGTTGAAGGAACAAGCGCGCTGTGAGCAGTGAGTATAACATTCCAAACACATCTTCACTGGCGCGAAATAGAAAGTATTTTCTTTAGAAGGCGAGATTCGCTATTGTCTCAAACAAGATCTAAAGAAATAGGCAGGCAAATATCTATCACAGGAGATACCTCGAACTCCTGAGAAAGTTAGAACGCAAATTATTGAGACCGTTGCGAAGACATGACTGATCTCCAGAGATTGGCATTGCTTCATAAAATCTAGTGGCCGATTCCGTACCTAATACCCCCACTCTACCCGCATTTCTTCAATCCATCGTTCAAGAAAAGTTGCGCGAGTAATACAAGGCCTGCTCACGGGAGTTTTCAAAGCAAAATGGTGGCTAGGGAAGGCCGAATTGTCCTAGTTGAGGCGATCAACTTGTATACGTTTAGTAGCACGTGTAGTTTTCGTGTTGTAGTTATATAGACGTGACCACATCTGAAAATTGTGTTGATAATGTGAGAATCATGGTGAATAGGGGATGAATCCCCAGATGCGTGAATTATGATAAAAAAAGAAAATTGTAAGTTACTAAGTTTAGTGTTTACTTCATGATT